TGAGTTAGAACGATTGATGTTTTGATTAGCATCCAAATATCTTAAGCACTAAATCCCCAAATAAGATGGTCAAATTGTGAAAGTGGAGATTTACATGCCAAAACCAAACCAACCAGACACACTGCCATCAAGTCAGTTCCAACTCACAGTCACCTCCATTGGGTTTACCTTAGGCACCGCACCAACAGAGCTCCTTGTTGTTGTTGTTGTTATGTGCTGTCGAGTCGGCCCGACTCAGCTATCCCTCCTTGGATTTCCAAGGCAGTGTCACTACGCAAGTAGATTGCCCAAGCTTACATGCCCTTAAATTTTTAAACCTTCAAAATATTTAATGAAAGTGCCTTGCCAGGATACCCCTGGGTGTCATAAACAGTTTATGATCAGTTGCTAAAACAAAAGGTTAGGGGTCCAAATACACTCAGCATTGTCATGAAAGAAAATGCCTGAAATCTGTAACTATAAAGATTAAAGTCAAGAAAACTCTATGCAGCAGTTCTGCTAGGTAACACTTTTATTCCCCATGGGTTGGAATGGACAAAATGACTATGAGTTTTCTTTTTGTTGTTGTTATTGTTGTTGTTTACTTGCTGAAAGAACTGTAAAGAGATCAAGCTCAAGGGTACAGGCTTGAAGGAAAGCACCTAGGTTTGATTCTACGCACAAAGCTAATTTTATATCCTAAGTGTGCAGTCAACCACCCTTCCACAATTTGTTCCATGGATAGCACAGGAAAAAAAACAAAGTCAATACCATCGAGTTAATTCTGACTCATTGCAACCTCCATTGGGTTTCTGAGGTGGTAAATCTTTACAAAAGCAGATTGCCCAGTCTTCCTTCCATGGTGATTTAGTGCCTAACATATTCTAGTATTTTCCTCAAGACCTGAGAGCTACTTATGATATGGTCATCATATAACATGGATATTTCAAGTAATATTTAACTCAGTGGCTGATGGGTTTGAACTGCCAACCTTCTGGTTAGCAATCAAATGCCTTAGACATTACACCATCAGAGCTTCTTTAGATAACACATAGGAAGAGATGAGCATAATATTAAACACACTTGCATAGATCTTTCTTTACTCTTTTTTCATCAATACATTATAAAATGAGGGTTAACAAAAGATAGCAATGATCCATGTTCAAACAGACTCCTAAAAGGTTTCCCTATTTTGGGAGAAACCAAACAGGAATTTTGTCTCAATAAGCAAATTTTATCCATTGCCGGAGAATAGGGTTTACCTATCCATCAACAACAGTCTTCTAAAAATAACGACCAGAACTGGACCCTCGCTCACACAGCTATCCACACCTTTGTCCATCTATACCTCCCATAATTAGAAATTCATATTCTAATTATATTCTAATTCTAATTATATTATATTATATCTAATTATATTATAATTCTATTGTAATAGAAATTAGAAATTCATTTATGAATTCACCCATAAAGCAGCATCAGCGTAACCCCTGACTTGTCCCTCTATGGTCTTTCTTGTCTCTTTTTCAATAAAATGCATCACTTGTCCTTCTCCTCTTGGGAATCAAAGCACCATGATTTTTTTTTTTTTTTTTTTTTCCAGGCAGTACACATGGGGAACTTTGGAAAGTGAAAAATCGTTGCTTAATCCTGTTTTATCCTGCAGCTAATTTCTATAAATCCACCCCTTGTATTAAATCATGGTTTCCTGTAGCAGAATACTTTAAATGTATGTAATTAATTATTTTTTTTACTGAGATCTGTGGTGTAGAGGAAGGAGAACCTGAAAATATAATTTCTTATTTTCTCATGTTTGTAAACTTGATTAAATTTTACCTGTTTTCCCACCCAGTTTTCTTGTTCATTATCTTCTGTAATTGTCAGAAGTCAGCAGGCTGGAAAAGCTTAGAAGTCATGGATAAGGACAAAAGGAAAGAAAGGCCGTATTAGATTGTGAGGATCCTCACTCTTCCTATCCTTTAGCCACTTCTTCATCTCATATGTCTGTCTAGGCCTCTATTAAGAGAGACTGATGTGTAGGCTTCTAGAATATTCTAGTATTTTCCTCAAGACCTGAGAGCTGCCTATGATGTGGAGGGTCATTTTTGCATGAGTTGGAAGACTTGTGTGCTGGGTCTCAATGCCTAAGAGGCTCTGTGCATCCTGGGAAAACCCCAGGTCCTGTGTCTGAGATGCTATGAATATCTTTCTTCCAGCTCCATTTCCTCCATGACTCAGAATTGGCTACCATCAGTTATTTCTGGTTGGACCTAAAAACCTGAGCACTTGTGCCACAGCCTCAATCGCTGAGTCCTGAGCTTCAGATTGTGATAGGTTCCATAATTCTCCAAGGACAATCTGCATGACAGAAGGTCCCTGATGCACACAA